CTTGAAGAAGACTGAATAAATTATTTTTGATTTTCAATTTAACAAGAAAGTAGCGAGTGCTCTTTCGGAGAAAATGAAAGGTTAATCCTGATGTGATCAGATTAATGCTCAAAATAAAAATATAATAAAAAAATGGAAACTTTAATACATCAAACGTTGTCGTGTAGGAGCGTTGTTGCAAATCGCAATGTATGTATTGCTAAATACTATTAACCTAGTAGGATGGTAAGGAACCCATCTTATGCGAGTAGATTCGCATTTGGCCAGTATTTTTTACAATCCTATATTTTTCAATATCACTATGATGTTAGTGGTAGTAAAAGTTAAACGTTGTTTAGAAGCGATCTCATAATCTCAAAATTAACTCCGATCACTATCCGTGTAGGTACTCCGCGTCTCCGAGTAATATACCATTAAACACTTAATGATGTTATTCCAACTAGTGCTGAGGAATTATGCAAATAACGAAAATATACGGTACTTTAGACACTTTACTTAAAGTTCAATCATTTCATAAAGTCATCTGTTTCAACACTACACTGATGATTTTATCGACTTGTGGTAAAAACAGGTACTGGCTGGTTCAAAGAACAACTTTTTTTATATATAATTTTATTACTTACACTGGCTAACTCAGCTGGGATACCTTCTGTAAGCACCTTTAAGCTTTTTGTCATTGCCTACTGTCCCTATTTCTAAACGACGGGAATATAAACAATTAAACATTCCTGCTGCTCCAGATTGCCACCAAGGGCTTCACTCATGAAGCCGCGTTGGCACAGAAGTTCTAAAAGCAAAATAATTATAACTTCTGGTCAAGAATACATTTAATCCGAAAGAGATATCAGTGTTTTCGGATAAAACACAGATTATTTTAAATCAAAGTCCAAATTTCTTAATTAATTGATGGAAGAAGAATACAACTCTTTTTTATCGTCCCAATTTTTCCACTACTACCATTTCAAGATATTTAATGTCTGTGGAGAATCATCTGTGGAAAACAACCCACAACGATATGAAGAGTTATAATATTTTTTAGTTGCTTTCAAAGCTTTAAATCTCTGTAACTAGAGACACATTTTGTTCCATTTGGTGATTTTTCGCTCTACAGCGACGAAATAAGAGGAGCAATAAACAATTTATGTAACAACATTAGGAAACCCCATATTGTTACAGTTAGCAGTGACATCTCGATTGCTCGCTTCTCCGACACGAAAATAATTTGAATATCGGCAGCATTTTCGCAAGGCAATACGACATTACAAGATGGAATGGAAATAAGAAAAGAGATCGTTGCCTAATTCTAGCTTTTTCAGAATTTATGAAGTCAACTTAAATCATGTGCGACACTTAATAAAGTTACTAAGCTCTCGGTGTTTATCGGTCATTTCAATAATGATGCTAAGATGACGATAATATTTCGAAAGTTGCTCCCCTATTAGAATATTTAATCGTTGCCCCGAGGTAGATCATTATCTCTATTCATTTCCGAGTACCGAAGCATATTTATTTTTTTATAATGAAGAAATTATATTTGAAATTCATATGAATAAAAAACGAAACTATTAATCTTTTTATTTTAACTATATCCTACGAATAGAACCTATTATATTTCAATACGAACTTAAAGAAATGTTGTTGATTTTAATTGATCAGGGTCGCGGTAATGCTTAACTTATTCTTAAAAATTGACAATGTTTAATGTTGTTTACTTTGTCGGCATACATAAATTCTAGAATGAAAATGATTTATCATTATTATTAGGGCATACTGAAGGAACTCGGATTCTACAAACGTGATTTTTTTACGGTTTTAGTTCGACCAAGAGTCCTAGACCTTCAAGTGCGCGTCCAACCCACGATTCACAGGTTTTTCAAACCACATATTAAGTTCCATTTTTAAGCCTATTTCTAAAAAAAAAACCACTCAGAGTAGGTTTCAGACGGGATTCGAACCTGAATCTTCCGCTATCCAGGCAATCGTTAAAAAAATCTTGAGATTTAAATATCTAGCAGTTAAATGTTTAGAAACATAAATATAATAATCTACATACTTACGATTTGGTCTAGGTCTGAAGAAGTAAAAAATCGCGAAATTCTTTCAGTAAAATATAAAGTAATTCTACGAGTGATAAAATCATTCCTATTCAATGCTGGATACGAATAAAATCTCACTGTCTTCTAAATTTTCCTAAGCCAATCATTTGTATTACTGTAAACAGTTTGTAAACTTAATAGTGTTCGATAAAGGATGAGAAACATGTAAGTTTCTTTTAACGCGTGTTCTGTCTAGAAGCGCCCACTGCCAACCCATTAAAAATAAATTGTAACAAACCAGAGTTTATATAAACCGTGATTTTGATACATATGCGGTCATTTATTTGGTTTGTGATTCACGCGTGAAATTTTAGAAAAAGATTAAATGTGAAATTGTTCGGTGACCAGAGTTAGAGAAAATTAACAAAGATATTTGTAATACCAATATCAATACTAGGAGGCGCTCGAATTAGTTTAATATTCATATAACCCGATGTTCTAAATTTATATTATCTTTATAAGTACATGTGAAGTAGTACGTAAAAGGAATTAATCATGCATAACTTGATGGATGAAACGATACCAGAGACTAATCAAGGATCTACATACACAGACGCAGATTGAACATTTACGCATTGGTCATAAAACAGACTCTATTGTTCATAGCGCCGGCGCCTGTCCTACCATAATAATAACGTCATAAATCAACATATGTCCATACAGAAAACTTGACTATTTTGCCAATAGCCGTCATTGGTATACCCCAAAGACATATAAAATACTCCTCTTTAAGTATCCATTGACTATTAACACTCCTCTATTACTTATTTATTTATTTTGGCAAGTTTTTGAAAGATTATTTTAACTTTCTTATTAACGTAGTATAATTAATTGATTAGTGAGCTTTTCTATAACACTTACTCACACCAATTAGCCTACTCCTAAAGTAAGTACCTAATGGTGCTGGCGTGATTCTCTAAACTTAAAACTAAATTTAACATCAGTCTCTCCTTTTCATTCTGCATAGAGAATGACAAGGATATACTGCTGTCAAATATAAGTTTAGGTTTAGAGAATCATGCTAGAATCGACACCATTGTAAGACTAAACTCGTTTGTCACTTATCTACAACGTTTGACCCGAAAAATCATAAATCATAAGGCCCCAATTAAGGACCTTTTCAATTATGCATATGGAACAGATTAAATTACTATTAAATTACATGACTAATATGCACCATAGTTTATACAAGTAAGGACCTACTCGTAGGTTTTGCAGTGCTATTCTGTAAGAACAACAGCTCTAGTTTCGATGAAGATATCAGTAGTACTATTCAGTCAGAATAAACTCTCACACTTGAAAATTTAAAATTCGTATTCTAATTTCAAATTATACTGCGGTCTCCGCGCGGTGCAGTGTGAGAGTTTGTTCTTACAGAATAGCACTACTGATAAATCTCCATCGAACTAGAGTAGAGGACTTAAAAAAATCTACCTAAATGTACCCCATAAAGAGCATAACAGGAAAGACCAGATCAACTACAACAATTATGAATATTTCACTCCCGATCCTACACATTTAACAGTTTATCAAACATTTAGTAGACACTTCGTAAATGGTTTATTTAACTTATTATCTGATGATATTTTCATCAACAGTGATTCTGACCGTAGAACACGCTAACGCAGTGGGACCTGCATATAGTAAGTAGTGACCGATTTCAGGAGTTGAATTATATTCGCGATAGCTGCTCATCAGATTGGTAACCAAAATTTAAATCAAGAAAGCCGCTGAACTTCGGAAAACTCACTTAACAAAAATGTGACTCAAGTGTATTTATTAATATCGTTTTCGAGTGGAAACAAATTTGACTCAAATTCGAGTCAACTCGTCGCATCGAGTAGGTAGCGATTCGGTAAGCGCTAGATGTCGGTACGTCACTAATTTACGTCAGGTCGGAATTTCATGAGTTATAGGGACTCGACTCGACTCGGCAAGCCTAGGGAAGGCGAAAGAACAGTTTGATGACTCACTGATGACGCCCGCCGGTGGACACAACAACAGGTCGGGCACAGGCAACCGGATGGTGACTACTCGCGTGTGCCCTAGGGGACGCGAACCTCAATAGTTTGGCGACTCACTGATGACGCCGGTAGACGCAACAGCGGCTTAATCGGCGAGAGCAGCGGCGAGCACGAGCAGGCAAACGGCGGCGCGTGCGGTGCTTGGCGGCACCCACATGGTAGCGACTACTCGCGCGAGCCTAGTGGACGCATTCGTTAACAGTTTGGTAACTTACTGATGATGCCGGTGGACGCAACAGCGGCGTGGTCGGCGAGTGCGGCGGCGAGCACGAGCAGGCAAACAGCACGGCGGCGGCGCGTGCGGCGAGGCGGCACCCGCATGGTCGCGACTACTCGCGCGAGGCCGCGAGATTTGTGGCCGCGTTCGTGAACAGTTTGGTAACTTACTGATGACGCCGGTGGACGCAACAGCGGCGTGGTCGGCTAACGCGGTGGCGAGCACGAGCGGGCAAACGGCGGCGCGTGCGGTGCGAGGCGGCACCCGCATGGTAGCGACTACTCACGCGAGCCTAGTGGACGCATTCGTTAACAGTTTGGTAACTTACTGATGATGCCGGTGGACGCAACAGCGGCGTGGTCGGCGAGCGCGGCGGCGAGCACGAGCAGGCAAACGGCACGGCGTCGCGTGCGGCGAGGCAGCACCCGCATGGTCACAACTACTCGCGCGAGGCCGCAAGCCTTGTGGACGCGTTCGTGAACAGTTTGGTAACTTACTGATGACGCCGGTGGACGCAACAGCGGCGTGGTCGGCGAGCGCGGCGGCGAGCACGAGCAGGCAAACGGCGGCGCGTGCGGTGCGAGGCGGCACCCGCATGGTCGCGACTACTCGCGTGAGGCCGCGAGCCTAGTGGACACGTTCGTGAACAGTTTGGTAACTTACTGATGACGCCGGTGGACGCAACAGCGGCGTGGTGGGCGAGCGCGGCGGCGAGCACGAGCAGGCAAACGGCGGCGCGTGCGGTGCGAGGCGGCACCCGCATGGTCGCGACTACTCGCGGCGCCGGCGCCCGCCGCCCCGCCTCCCTCGCATCACACCCTCGCGCCACGCCACTCGTGCGCAACACCTGCAACAACGAAACATCAGCATGAAATCATAATTATCTTCAGTGTAGGGGAATAATAAAGGCAGTCTAGGAAAATATCCTATTTGCAAAGTGAAGACAGAATAACGTGTGGTGTTGAGTCACAGTAACTATCATTACAGCTGGATACAGTGGTACCATGTGGTGCTAGTACAGGTCGCGGCACGTAACTCTAGCGCTGAACAAAACGTGGAGGGGATAGCTGCGCTGCGGGTACGACTGGAAAGCCTAACGGCGCAACGCACGCCCACCCGCGCACCTTGTTTCCCCCCCAAGACATCTTCATTTTTACTTCTGTGCAATAATAAGTCAGCGCTAGAGTTTCGTGCCGTGACTTATATGAGATGATAAAGATTGGATGGGTTCATTGAGTACTCCATCTCACCAGAAATGTCTGGTGTTATGGAGTACTCAACGCGATAAGGCTCTGGAGTACTCAATGAACCCATCCAATCCCAATCATCTTATACTAGACTAGAGGTGATAAAAAGCGCAGCTTCTAAATCCATCCGGAATTCTCTGTAATAGTAGTAGTACTAGGTACATCATAGTTATTGTTATTTAATGTTAACTTAAACCCAATCTACACTATCAAAGTTACGGTTTAATTGAAGTATAATACTATTAGTGACCACTGCATGCTGCTCGTCATTTTTGATGCTTTATAAACATAGCAAGGGATCGTCATAATCTTAAAAAAATAAAATACTTAAGTAAAATATCAGAATTATTACGTAATATGTAATCGTAAATGCAAAAAAATATATATAATACTTGTAGAATAAATAACTTCGACGAATCCAATAAGATTTCCTGTTGAAAAGTTGAACTCGAAAATCCAGGTCGCCTCGTAAAAAACCTTCGCGATGTGATTTGCGTGACGTAACGGAGTCAACGCACGCCGAATTATCAGCGTGGCTTTAATGTGTTGTGTATATTCGCGGCCGATATAGCACAACGCTGATTGATAATGCAAGACGCTTCCAGTGAGATCGTAGCTTTACGAGCCTGCGATTTCCAAGTCTTCCACTGGACTGGCCTGCTGCCGATCCGCGGGTGAACGCATACGTTTACGTTTGACTACAGTAAGCACACACTCGGAAAATAATGGAAGAAATATTTTATAGACGGTTCAAACTCTATAGCATGACAACTTATTGCATATTTTAGTAGAGTTTAAGACTTCAGACTTCAATAAGAACGCATTATTTGCTTTTAATTCGCTTTTGAGACTCCTTTGTGCGGCAGCTAGCATCAGCTATCCTCACAAGTCTAGAAATGAAATACCGTAAGTCATATACGAAATGTTTCTTTGTTACTATTACTTAAGGCTAAAAAGCTAGCTCAGAAGGGAATTGATTCGCGTGTGCTGTTTTTTTTTTAATTAATTAATAAGAGAAAAATAACTTGATATATTACCAGAATACAATTTGGTGTTCGAATTTGTATGAAGTTTAAAGCAAGACTTTATTTGCCCTTGTTTATTTCTTTATATCAATTTCAAGAATATTTTTAATCCATGTCAGGACGATGCGATGTGTGGCTGGCTGTGTTTCCCAATAGTAACTAGGCATTCTTATTTTTCTGTGTTAATAAATGTATTTATATGTTTTTAATTATTATATACCTAGCTGTTATTCCTGTGTCTTTAAAACGTAATTTAAATTAATGCAAACAACGATTTTTGTTCCAATATAAAATAATAATTAGTTATACAAAAATATATAATAATATAATATATAATAATACATTTATTTATTTCATAAGCCAGTTTTACAAGAATCGTACAAGACAATATACAGTATAGCTTGGATTAAACATTTTATAGTATCCGCTGTACCTGTGCTAGGTTATAAAAATACCTGTATCACAGACACAGAGCTCATCCCTAAGGACCAGTTATATATACAACCTTTATGTAAGAAAAAATATTCAATTCTTCTGAATGAGTTTAACAAAGTTTAATCAATTTATTATTTAAGTAAAAGGATTCAATTATTTACGATTTTTTTTTTTTTATAGATAGATCCGACAAATGACTCCACCCCACCTGATGTTAAGTGAAGGTGAAGTCCAGACGCGAAGATAGCTGATACAGCAGTTCTAACTGCCACACCAGCCATCCTCACCCTGCCGGCCTGCAAGTTGCTTCTTCATATAATGATTTATAAGGATTCAACTATATTAATCCTACACTGTCCCAGATGACGAATGAATATCAACTGCATACCAAAACATTGCGTTTACGGCAAAACATCCCTTTATGTAAATACCTATATGTAGTAAGTATTAAGCTAAAGCACACAATACAAGATAGCTCTAAATCATATAAGATTAGTTTTTGGTTCCGTACCCAAAGGCTAAAAACTCCTCTTTAGTTATAGCATAAGACTCCACTGTCCGTCTGCCTGTCTGTCACCATGAACTGTGATAGCTAGACAGTATAGCTGTTGCTGCTATAACAAGAAATACCAAAAACAGCGTAAAGTAATTATTTAAGGGGGACTCCCTGATTGACTCCAGAACATGATTTTTTTTGCTCGACGTTAATAACAGCAACAGGGCGTCGCTTGAAATATTCTCAGCAAAATTTAGTTGTTTATTCACTTTAAAAGCAAATCATAAAAAACACGCATTTTTGCCACATTTGCTCGATATTATAATATAGTGTCTGATATTGTATGGATAATAGTACGGAACGAACCCGTCGCACAGTGGGCGGAAACGATCAAAACTACGCACGAGACAGAAAATCTAATCCATATGAAATTATATTTTTGTAAATACTCGTAATTATATTTGTTTCTTAGGTTTTCACGCACATCACTCATTAAAAAACTCGTGCATTAACCCGTGAAAAACTAGTTTTATTTACTCGTAATTATGTCTGCTTTCTTGTAGCACTGCGGAAATTCACTTTTTTAGGGGTAGAAACCACCCCTTTCAACCCCTAAGCGGGCTGAACCATCAGATTCTAAGTATATGGTAATGGTAATATGGGAATGAGGTTTATCAGGGTTGAGGTAGACTCAGACCCGTCTTTCCCAGTGGGCACTTTGGGCAAGTGCCCAGGGCCCCGCGATCGATAGGGGACCCCCTCATATAAAATACAAAGTCCCTAGTTCCTGTTAAATCATCAAACGGAAGTCATAGGGGCCCCATTATCCTAATATGCCCATGGCCTCCAATATGTCAAAGACGGCACTGGGTAGGCTAGCCTATCTGCGTATAAAATATATATTTCCTTATAAATGTGTAGTTGATCGAACTCGTTTTACCCAGAATCTGGCGCCCTGTAGGTCCTATTCTTAGTTGAATCGCATTATACACAGGGCGTATTTACCATTGGGGAAAGAGGACCATGGCCCGGGACGGCAGGCTGCTAGGGGCGGCTGCAAGAGCTGCGTTGGTGTTCTTTACTGACCTATATTTTTATTGATTTACTAATCCTAAAAGGGGTGCAAATCTATACGATTTGCGATGTAAATGTGGCCCGGTGCGCCAGATTTATAAATACTCCCCTGGATGTACATAATATGTAAGTTAGTTTAGAATACAAAATGATAGGATAACAGTGAACATTATACCAACTTAAATAAAAAAGAATGTTTTTGTTTCATATTTACATAGTAGGATAGTAGACTTCACAATTAAATTTCTAAATTCAATTCAAAAGCGTGAATTCCATCATCAGAAAAATGTGATACCTACTTAATCTAAAAAACAGATTCACGAGTTTGTTTTATACACCAAATTATTATTTAACATGATAATTAATAATACTCTTGCGACATTATCAACACGGCTGCGCAACATAGGTATCAAGTTTGAACGTCAAAAACAAATTCCTAAGTAATCAACCAGGATAAATTTTAACAAGCATGTTTCGCGAATCAAAGCTTAATTAATTATTCAAAACTAATGAAACTTAACGACCCCGAACATAGTAGTACGGTCAATGCCACTGATAGCCACCCTTTTTATATAATTCAATCTTTATTATTATACTTATTACCGAAAGGACTCGGTTTATTAATGTACCTATTCGTTGTTCGATTCTACAGTTGATAGAATACCGAACTAGTGTCCTTAACGCATTTTTTACAGCATCCAACCAGAACGTTGACCTCGTGCTCGGACATATAACATTTATTCATTAATAATTACAACGTGGAGCAAAAAGTGGTTCATAATAAGTGCGTTTGCAGGACACGGCGCAAGCGGCGCGGCGCGGGCGCAGCCGGAGAATCGCGGCTCTCGAATATTGACAATTACGCTAGTTCCGGTTTCAGATCCTCCTCAGTAATGTATTTAGGCACGGTAACAGTAAAAAATTACAAAAGCATAATTGAAACACGTTACTTCTTCTTTTGCTGTCAAGTCGGAACACGCGCAGCATAATAATATGCAGTAATAAATTAATTTATTAGTGATTATAATTAAAATGAACCGGTGTGAGCAACAGTATGTTTGATAACCGTCCTTCTCGACTGATTGGTGTCACAAACCGTTACTTCTCATTCTGTTGTTGCCCAAAAAAATCTTTGGCACGTTCTTAATTTAATATAGTAACTATACACATGCCGTGCAAAAGATTTGATTTCTTTTATTCTATATTAGAAAACGCTCGCACAAGTAGAGAGAAAAGTTACACAATGATTAATAAAGATGAAAAAATTCCATTAGCTGTTAATCAGGAAATAAATAATAATAATAATAATAAATTCTTTATTTATTTCTTCACATAAGTAGAAAAATTTACAATAAAGTGCTTAATTACAACACCTCACCACTTAATGTGAAGACTGGTGCTTGCAATAGGATAAAACCTTTTAAAGATACCATTCGTTTTTTATGATGTTACTAATCGACTGGACTGGTCATTGTTAATATTAATACAACAAAGGTGTGGTGGCACCGCAAACGCCTCTTGGATTTAACTTGGTAGCAGCCTCGTTGCTACCAGTATTGTTTTATTTTTT